AACTACCTGGAATGACTATATAAACCTGATTAAATGATCAAGAACATTGTTCTGCAACTACTATAGTGTGTTTATGAACTTTGCCTTTGTGTTTTGTAGTATGTCATTTATTGTTGGTATGTTCTTTGCTGGCATTGATCTTCATAGCAGGTAAATGAAAGAAATCGAGCTTCCGTTCTCGTCTTGAATGGCATTTGCAAATAAAACTAGCTCTGTAGAGCGGGATGGGTCGGGTGGGCTGGTGGACTTCTCATGCATCCTCTCTGGGGCTTAGACTGGAAAAGTGGCTTGAACGATGAATGCATTTGCAGTGTTGGCGTGAATGTGCCGTTGATGCCCTGGCGTGTCACAGCGCCGGCGATGTGTGATGGCATTTGCGCAAGCGCTGATGTCACTTCCCGCCTGTGTCCTCCAATAGAGAGGATGTTGCAATATCTGGTCGTCATGACGACGGCGAGAAACAAGACTGCGCTCCTGGCTGCTGATCCAGAGAAACTGCGCAAGAGCGAGAGAGAGGAGGAAAGGAGAGATGGACAGAAGGAGTGGAGACTGAGAGGGAGAGCAGGGGAATCGGCTATTTCCTCTTCTGTTTCCATAGCATCCGTTCCTTCATTCATCCAGTCTCTCTTACGCTCGTTCTTTTCATATCTCACCCTCTTAGCTTGTGTCTTCCACTGTCTCTGTCTCTCTCTCTCCCTCTCTCCCTCTCTCTCTCTCTCTCTCTCTCGCACACACTAGGCCATGCAGTTTTGTTGTGGCGGCGGCGCAGACCCTCGCTTTCTCTAATGAAGCTGGCGCTCATGCGGGTGAGTGCGTTTGTCTGTGTCCTCATTGCTGAATGGGACCGAGCTGGTCTGGATCAGGGCCTTTCATTCCAAACACAATAATAACTCTCTGCAGGACCGGCGCTACAGCGGGAATGATCGCGCAGGTGCGTGCGCTTTTCTGCTCTCTGCTTGCTCGATTCGCGACACCCTTCTCCCGTTCCTGCATCCTGATGCGGTGCTGATGTGGCGGTGAGACTGACGCCTTTTTGTTTTTGTGACTTTTGCTTCTCCAGCTCGTGACTCACAGAGCACCGACTCACGGTTACACTCAGAGGCTGAAGGGGAAGCCGAAAGCTGATTAACGTTGTCTTTTCCAAGCCTGCAGTGCGTGTCTGTGTGCCCTTGCGTCCCCGCTGGCTCCGTTCCCTTAGGGAATGACTCTGCGTAATGTGTACGTGATTGTGTGCCGGGCGCATGCGCAGCAGTATTGCTACATGTGCTTATGTTTTTTAGCTCGCGGGGAATTGAGGAAGTGAGGCTGATCAGGAATTTCATGAGCATAAACCTCGAACGGTGAGGATGCTGTGAAGTGGAGAGAGAAAGATTGAGAGTGTTAGTGTGTGGCCATGTATTTATCTCTTTGTAAGGACCAGATGTCCCCAGGTTGATGAAAATGTAAGCATTTTGCTGCTGACGGAACAAAACATTGTATCTCTATTTTTGTCGTTTTTCAGTTTTTACATGATTTGAAAATGCCTGTTCTCCTTTACATTATGTGTAAGTTTCATGATGAACTGGCCAAAAGAAACGGCCCAAAATGACTTGGAAAAAAATCTGGTTGCATTGACTTACATTAAATGTCAAGTCATTTTTTCCTTCTCCTGTAAAGTTTTCATTTTGGAGATATGAGGTTTTGTTCTGACAACAGCGATATACTTGTAGCAACAAATTTGGGTGCTTTTTCGTCAGTTGGGTTGACAAAAGTTCTTTGTTTTGTCTTGTTGCTGTAACACGTTTGGAGAGGCAGCGCTGAGTAACGTTTGTTTATTTGAGCTCGAGCTGTGTCCCTCGTCAGTTGGGAGCTTAAACAGGCAATCAAATATTTAAATGGATCATTCTACTGAGTTACCGAATGCATAGGTAACACTGTGAAAAAAAGCAGTGAAGTATTCAGACCTTAGACATTTACAGTGTTGTAACTCTGTTGTAAAGCCATAGCCATTTAAAGGCATTAATAGAGATGGTAATAACTGAAATAGACAGAAAATTATCATTTATAAGGCGGTTTCTATTGGGAGGTGTCTGCCCCAAAGCCTAACCTCTGAATTTACACTTGTGAAAATAATGCTTACATTTTATTTACTTATTATAAAATATATATGTTTTTCTAAAGATCTTTTTGATTTCTTTTAAAGTGAAGGTGGAAGCTTTGGATTTGTCATGAGGTTAATTTTTAAATGAAAAACTGTACTAATTTTATGTCACTACAGAAACATGAGTTTTATTCTGTCCTTATTTTTGCCACGCCCCTGCATTCTAGAGCAGGAAGTGAGACTGCATCCCTCCCACATCCCTAGCCACATGGTGAGCATTTAGATCCCATTGCTTTGAATTTAATGTGTCTCAAAGTCTGAAAATCAGTGTGTAACATTGAGAATTGTCACTACTGAAACACATATTTTCTGAAATTAAGTCATATATATATATATATATATATATATATATATATATATATATATATATATATATATACATATGGTATTGGCTGATACTCAATATTAAAAGACTTGGGTCAGATCAAGGGGCCAAAAAAAAATTAAATGATGCCTAAAGACTGTGCTGTAAACTACGCTGTCTTGTATATTAAACTTATCCAGAATAGTCCGCCAACCAAGAATATCCTGCCAACAGGGGTCTTGTGGTCTAATCTGACCACTGATGAAGGACTAAAAGACAACGGAACTTGACCATGGTTTCATCAAGCAGTCCAATAAATAAAATAGACATTTGACACGTGCCATATTTGAGTGTGTGGAAATCTGTTTGTTATACTTTGTTATACTATAAGATATTAAAAAACATTGAATTTTTTTATTTAGTGAAATGTGTAAAATGAATTCAAACCTGACCTATTCCACTTTATTTGAACATGTCAATTGCCGCAGACCAAGCACCGCAGTGTCGGCCTTTGCTCGATTCAGTCTAGCAGTGGCACGCTGCAGTACCAAAACATCCAAAAAAGGACGTGGAACAGTGAGGGGTCATATAAAATCAAATTTATAGTGTATCAGCTAAAGAGCAAAGTTTTTGGAGGAAATGAATAAATTGCTTCAAATCAAATCCCAATCCAGATCTGAGTCCTCTACACTGTTAGAAATAAAGGTGCTGTGCTGGTACATTTTTCATTCATCAAGGTACAAACAATGTAAATGTTCCCTCAAAGGTACAACAGTGGTTTTAAGGTCCAATTGTGAACCTTAAATACGTTTTTCCAGGTGAAAAGTACAGATTTGCACCATTTCATAACCGAATGTTTTAAAACAGAGCAATGGAGACGAGACGTGTTGTGTGGAGTCAGTACAACTTAGAAACTTAGAAATTATGGTACAGTTATGTTCCCTGACTAAAGGTACTGTGATGTACCCTTAAGGGTACCACCCCAGTGAAAAGAGGGGAACTGCCCCAGTGACAGTTTAGTACCTTTATTTTCTTGAGAGTGTATAGCTAGACCACAAGTCCAATTTTTTGATAAACCAAGCACATGATGAGTGTTAGAAATAAATAAATAGAGAGTAGCTACTGTGTCCCGGGATATGGATGCAACTTGGAAAGAACTAAGCAAAGGATGTGTTTCTAGAGGCTGCATGAAGCCTAAGTTGTAAGAAATAGACGAAGCCTGGGACGGAATGGGCTTCCTTTATATCACTAAGTGGTTCCTTATCATCAAGAATGTCTCCAAACGTAAGTAATAGGCCTTAAACATTGTGCATTAACCCTGGTGAAGCGTCCCATTCCTGCCAAATGGTGGACATGGCTATTGGTAGGTGAGTCTGGGTCTGAATAACATTATCACAGACCTTCTAACGGTGCTGCAGGGCTCTGTTGTGCTTCAGTGTGTCTGTCTGTCTGTGCCCGGTCCTTTGTGCTGGGGCTTGATCTCTTTGTCAGCGTTTGGCTGCCACAGCTGCAGCTGCAGTTAAGCACGAACACGTGTGCGCGTAAACACATGCGCCCGCCTGCGTCCTGTGCGAATGCGCTCTGCACCCTCATCCAGACACAAACACGCACACCCTGTTGTCATTAGCGTCGCCGGTGAATTATTCAGCGAGATGAGTTATGAGTGGTTGCATTGGGAAGAACAAACTGCACCTGCATCTGTTTACGATCGTCTGCTGCCACAATGTTCTCGGAAAACAGCAGAAGGACTCGAGCAGGGCGGATCGGCTTAGGTTCCTGTGTGTGCTATCCATACTTGTGTTCTTTCATAGCTGCTGCTGTGAGGTTGGATGAGCTTTGGAGGAAGGTTACAAGACAGTGAGGGCCATATTGATACACAGACAGGTGAAAAACTACATAAACTGGCCATTAGAACAGAGCAGAACTATAGCTGCTTTTCTCGCATCTCTGGCAGGAAACTTTTACACAAAAATGTCTCTCTATATTTGGCTTTTTATGAGGCTGAAGTCGCTTCTCATTCGCCAGCTTCTCATTCAAATTTTCCTGTTCCATCTTAAATGGTGCCTGAGGCGCCAGAATGTAACTGTGGCACCATTTAAGGTGGAACGGGAGAATTCAAACGAGAAGCTAACTTTTTGGTGTTTGACAGCTTCTTGTTGCAGATTAAACGTATCAGGAAACCAGCTGGAGTGATTATAAATGCAAATAAGTCTCCAACTTATCCGTGTTCCTCTTAACTCTCTCTCTCTGTGCTTTTTCATTAGCTACTAGCTAGGTGAGACCGTTGTCTGCGTTGCTATGGTGACCAGCAGTCTGTGCGCTAATCTTCAGGGTTAAAAGGTAAATAAGCAGTTATACAGGGGTTTAGTCCCCTGCCTAGGCGATCACTCTACACTATACCAGAAAGTCCATGGGCAAGACTCCTAACATTACCTTCGCCTGCCTGTGTAAAAATGATCACATTGTAAGAGAAGGTCTTACCCTGTCTCTCTCTCTCTCTCTCTCTCTCTCTCTCTCTCTCTCTTTCTCTCTCTCTCCCTCTCTTTTTCTCTGCAGGAAGAATGCAAGCAGATTTTGGCGCGGCAGAAGTCCAGCTCTCAGTCGGATTCTCATGATGACGAGGTCTCCCCTCCACCTCCAAACCCTGTTGTCAAGGCCCGGCGCAGGAGGGGAGGGGTCAGTGCTGAGGTTTACACAGAGGAAGATGCGGTCAGCTACGTCCGGAAGGTGAGACACGTGCACTGAAGTATCCTGCTTCCGGTAGGATGGTGAGGTTCCTCAACGCCTCTAAGATCAGGCGCTCTAGGTTTGCCTCAGCAGTAGAGCTGTAGAGCGAGTGAGGTCAGAGCGCCTCTACTTTTATTATTTATTATTAAATGGGCAATTTTGCTCCCCCACTTTTATTCCGAACAGAAAAAATGCCTCCCTCTTTGCTGCGACAGGAACAAAGTAGCAGGAACAAAGTACACCATGACCCAGAAGGTTAATTTGGAAGCCCATTCCCACCAGCTAAAGAAGAAAAGCATCGCCTTTTTGTCCCCCAGATCTGTTGCTGGCTGGTATAGGTCAAAATTATGATTTATGTTGAGTATTTATTTATTTTTTTCATCTCAAAACTATTGCTTAACTGCTTAGATTTTGATTGATGATACACATACCAGAACCATCAGAAAATGACTGATTATGTAAAAGTGGCTTTTTTTCTCAATATTTTCACTGACTATATCAAAATAATGACTTCTTTTCTCAATATTTTGACCCACAATATTGAAATAATGGCTTATTTTCTCAAGATTATGACTGATTATATAATCAGAATAATAGCTTATCTATTTGTGACTTTGACCGACTGTACTGACATGGCTTACAGTCATGTGCGAAAGTTTAAACACCATGTCAAATAACGTTGATTTTCTAAGGGAAAAAAAGTTACAATAAAAGTGTGAAAGTGTTGAAAAGTTAACACATAATCTACAGGGCAACAACTTAAAAATATACTTTTTATGAACATTTTATTGCACAATTTGTATTTATATGCTGAGATTAACATATTGGAAAAAAATAACACATAAAATGAGCCATAATTTTTAAATTGATTTTTTTCCCAATATCATCATCATCATCATCATCATCACTTTTATTTATATAGCGGCTTTCCCATGCTCAAGGACGCTTTACAATCAGAGAGCATCAACACATTAAACAACAACACATTAAACAAAAGGACAACACAGGCAAACATTCAAGTATAAACGGAACAATGATAACACAGTGAAAACAAGTCTTTAACAGAGATTTAAATGAAGACAGAGAGGTCGCATCCCGAATAGACAGTGGGAGAGTATTCCATAACTTGGGAGCTACTACATTAAATGATTGACCACCCATAGAAGCCAATTTAAATCTAGGAACATGAAGTAGGCCTAGATTTTGTGATTTCAAGATACAGGATGGGACATATAGATGAAGAAGCTCTGCCAAGTACCTACACATACCTACACATCACACCCACAGGAGCTTTTATGACATCCCATTCTAAATACATAGGCATTAATATGGAGTTGGTCCCCCTTTGCAGCTATAACAGAATTTATCCAGAAGAGCATTTGTGAGGTCAGACACTGATGTTGGACGAGAGGGCCTGCCTTGCAGTTTCTGTTCTAGTTCACTCCAAAGGTGCTTGTTGGGGTTGAGATCAGGGCTCTGTCAAGGCTGGTCAAGTTCTTCCACACCAAACTCACCCAGCCAGGCCTTTATGGACCTTGCTTTGTGCACTGGGGCTTAGTCATGCTGGAACAGAAAAGGTTCTTCCCCAAACTGTTCCCACAAAGTTGGAAGCATAGAATTGTCCAAAATGCCTTGTTCTGTTGAAGCATTAAGATTTCCCTTCACTGGAACTAAGGGTTCTAGGCCAAGCTCTGAAAACAATCCCAGAGCATCATCCCTCCTCAACCAAACTTTACAACTGGCACAATACAGTCAGGCAGCTAATGTTCTACTGGCATTAACCAAACCCAGACTCGTCCATCAGACTGACAGATAAAGAAGCCTGATTCGTCACTCCACAGAATACGTTTCCACTGCTCCAGAATCCAGTGGAGGCGTGTTTTACACCACTCCATCCAACCCTGGAGGGACCGGTATACTGGCTAAATAATTATACAGTTATACAATTATTTAAATACAATATAATTGTTGGTTAATATTGCCCTGCGATGGACTGGCGACCCGTCCAGGGTGTATCCTGCCTTCCGCCCAATGACAGCTGGGATAGGCTCCAGCACCCCACCGCGACCCAGAAGGATAAGCGGTTTAGATGATGTATGTATGTATGTTGGTTAATATTATTTTACACCGCCTGCTGGTGCACACTGGTAAAATAAAAAATCAGAAGATATTTTGTAGGTGAGACAAAAGTCATAACTTTTTGATAGCAGATCAAACAACAAACAAGGCAAAAAAGGTTTGTTTTGACCTCAAGTTCACTTTAACAGAAATGAGATCTAGTCAGTGTCAGGACGCAGTATCTACGTTTGAAAAGGCCGAGTGTAAACACACTGTGTCCTGATTAAATGATCCAGTCATCACGATCGGATCACGAATGGATGTTAATGCCAAGTGTAAACAGGCCCCTCTTGTCCTTCCATCTCTGCCAGCTCATCTGTCCTGCTTGTTAGGATGTGATTAACATGATGGTGCATTAATTATGGACTAATGACACTGAGACTGAAGCACATCAGCAGGCTGTAATTGAGAGGGCAGTGAAGCGTGGGCCACAGCGCCTGCTGCCCACAACAGTCACCTGCAGGGTCACGTCTTGAACAGTGTCTCAGTAATACACACCTGCAAACAAAGTTTTTATGTTTATCTGAGGACCTAAATTTGAGTAGAAACTCTAGATACAGTGCTGTACATCTCTGCTGAACCCCTACGTCAACTTAATCGTTCAACTGATAATATACGTCAAACAAAAGAAACGTTTTGAGGTCTTTTGGGCCAAAGCGATGGAGTGGTTTCAGTGTGATACAATGTGCGCTGGCTGCTAAACAGAACTTCTAATCACCACATTGTTTGTTCTGAGGCCTCCCCCTGACTGTGATTGGTCTTAGTCACCTGTTGTTTGTTCTGAGACCTCCCCCTGACTGTGATTGGTCTTAGTCACCTGTTGTTTGTTCTGAGAACTCCCCCTGACTGTGATTGGTCTTAGTCACCTGTTGTTTGTTCTGAGACCTCTCCCTGACTGTGATTGGTCTTAGTCACCTGTTGTTTGTTCTGAGACTTCTCCCTGACTGTGATTGGTCTTAGTCACCTGTTGTTTGTTCTGAGAACTCCCCCTGACTGTGATTGGTCTTAGTCACCTGTTGTTTGTTCTGAGACCTCTCCCTGACTGTGATTGGTCTTAGTCACCTGTTGTTTGTTCTGAGGCCTCCCCCTGACTGTGATTGGTCTTAGTCACCTGTTGTTTGTTCTGAGACCTCCTCCTGACTGTGATTGGTCTTAGTCACCTGTTGTTTGTTCTGAGGCCTCCCCCTGACTGTGATTGGTCTTAGTCACCTGTTGTTTGTTCTGAGACCTCCTCCTGACTGTGATTGGTCTTAGTCACCTGTTGTTTGTTCTGAGACCTCCTCCTGACTGTGATTGGTCTTAGTCACCTGTTGTTTGTTCTGAGAACTCCCCCTGACTGTGATTGGTCTTAGTCACCTGTTGTTTGTTCTGAGACCTCCCCTGACTGTGATTGGTCTTAGTCACCTGTTGTTTGTTCTGAGGCCTCCCCCTGACTGTGATTGGTCTTAGTCACCTGTTGTTTGTTCTGAGGCCTCCCCCTGACTGTGATTGGTCTTAGTCACCTGTTGTTTGTTCTGAGGCCTCCCCCTGACTGTGATTGGTCTTAGTCACCTGTTGTTTGTTCTGAGGCCTCCCCCCTGACTGTGATTGGTCTTAGTCACCTGTTGTTTGTTCTGAGACCTCCCCCTGACTGTGATTGGTCTTAGTCACCTGTTGTTTGTTCTGAGGCCTCCCCCTGACTGTGATTGGTCTTAGTCACCTGTTGTTTGCTTTCAGACCTCCCCCTGACTGTGATTGGTCTTAATCACCTCATTGTTTGTTCTGAGGCCTCCCCTGACTGTGATTGGTCTTAGTCACCTGTTGTTTGTTCTGAGGCCTCCCCTGACTGTGATTGGTCTTAGTCACCTGTTGTTTGTTCTGAGGCCTCCCCCTGACTGTGATTGGTCTTAATCACCCCATTGTTTGCTTTCAGACCTCCCCCTGACTGTGATTGGTCTTAATCACCTCATTGTTTTCTTTCAGACCTCCCCCTGACTGTGATTGGCCTTAATCACCTCATTGTTTGCTTTCAGACCTCCCCCTGACTGTGATTGGCCTTAATCACCTCATTGTTAGCTTCGAGACCTCCCCCTGACTGTGATTGGTCTTAATCACCTCATTGTTAGCTTTCAGACCTCCCCCTGACTGTGAGTGGTCCTAATCATCTCATTGTTTGCTTTGAGACCTCCCCCTGACTGTGATTGGTCCTGATCACTGCTTCATTTCTTATAAGAATCACTGTGCACTTTGTTCTGAGACCTCCCCCTGACTGTGAGTGGTCCTAGTTATCGTTTATAGGCTAGAGAGAAGAGATGGGTTTGCAATTTAATTTACATATGGAAAGAGAATTAGACCACCAGACTTGGAAGAAGATGTGGTAGAAAAATGTTCCAGAGATGAGGAGCAAATCTAGAAAAGGCTTGATAGGCATGAAGGCTTGAGGGAAGAATGATCAACACTGAAAAAGCTGAGCTGAACCTGATGTTGCTACTGTGATATTGTGTCCGTATCAGGAATACCTTCCTGGATGAAATTTCAGAGTTAATTAGACCACAGTCATTCTGTAAATATGTTGAGATTAGATTTGGCCTCACTTTTGGATCAGGAGAGAAAATAAGAAGGGGGGGGGGCATCACACTGTCCCCAAGTTGCCATACTATAGAAAGAAAACAGAATTCTAACCTGAGCTGCTTATCACCTGAATCTGTAGCCTCACTGCTGTCTTGGTATGTGAAATCTTCTCAAATTAGTCCGTATGTTGAATATTTCTCATTATAAGATGTTTGTATGATGATAATAAGATTATTCAACCCATTTCTTTAGGTTTTATGTAAAATTTTGCTAATAAAATCTTTACCTCGCGGTGCCTCCTATGATCCTGCGTATCCATTATGACAGTAATACAAGGAATCACGCCACACACACACACTCACAATGAATGATTATCTGAACATGATTCAGCTTTAATGGTAAAGGTTGAGCGTGACGCAGGCGCGTGGGCCCTCAGCGGTGCGCGCTGCGCCGGCAATTACGTTAATGCTTTCGGACGTTAAAACATTATTGCCTCAGAGTTTGGATCAACAGGAAGCTTGTAAAGAGAAATTTCACCCTGAAATGAAATTTGAAAGAGGCTTTGAGGGCATCAATGAAGACATGGTTGAGAGCTGTGGGAGAAGCCTGTAAGCAGCTGTTGAGAAAATGGCATCGGAACCACGTAGTGGGTGATCTCTGAGTGGACTGCAGTGACCCTGGAAAGAATCAGACTTGACGCTGCTTCGCTAATGCTTTCTCATGTCCGCTTTAAATGAGTCAGTAAACTTAACCAGCAAATATAGAGTTTTAGATAGTCTTTTGAGTCATTTTGCCATGCACACAGCAGGCTGACTGAGGCCCTGTTAAATCTGGCATTAACATCCGCTTGATTGATCTGACCATAAGTGGACAGCGAGAGGTATGTTTATTTATTTACACCTGGCATTTTCATGGGTCTCTGGAGACCACTTATGATCAGATTTCATGACTGGAGGGAGGGTACTGCGCACACTTACTATATCAGTCCCTGATTGTGTTTGTTGTCAGACAGAAAATGTGCCATGAGACCTTTTGTTGCAATATTTAATGCTTCTTTTGGAAGAGGCATAATACAAGGCAGCCAATCAGAACAGAGGTCGTTAACATATACAGTTGTATGCAAACATTTAAAAGTATTTTGTTCATTTTCAAAGCGAAAATAAGTGAACACATCCTCTACAGAGGACACACTTATGTGCATTTCACTCACAATTTGTGTTTATTTGCTGATTTTAAAATATTGGTAAGAAAATATGAAACATGCAATATTTACATTTACAGCATTTGGCAGGCACTCTTATCCAGAGCAACTTACAATTTTGACCATTTTACACAGGTAGGGTAGTGTTAGGAGTCTTGCCCAAGGACTCTTATTGGTATAGTGCAGGGTGTTTACCCAATCGGGGATTGAACCCCAGTCTACAGCGTAGAAGGCAGAGGTGTTACCCACTACACTATACTAACCACATGTGGCACAATATAAAATATGCCACAGCTTTTATTACACATTATAACATATTCAGAAACAAAATAAAACAAAAACGTAACATTTACGCTCGCTGTTGTGTTTGTATGTATGCAGGTCATCCCAAAGGACTACAAGACGATGACAGCTTTGGCTAAGGCCATCTCTAAGAATGTGCTTTTTGCCCATCTGGATGACAACGAGAGGAGGTAAGAGGAGTTTTAAGCCATTATTGTCCATATGTGATACACTATATGGCCAAAAGTATGTGGACAGCTGACCATCACATCTATATGAACTTGTTACAGCTATAACAGCCTCCACTCTTCTGGGAAGGTTTGCGAGAAGATGTTGGAGTGTGTCTGTGGGAATTTGGGCCCATTTAGTCAAAAGAGCATTTGTGGGGTCAGGTACTGTTACTGGACAAGAAGGCCTGGCTTGCAATCAGTGTTCAGATTCATCCCAAATGTGTTCAGTGGGGTTGAGGTCAGGGATCTGTGCGGGCCACTGGGGTTCCTCCTCACCAAACTCGTCAAACTGTGTCTTTATGGAGCTCGCTTTGTGCACTGGGGCTCAGTCATGCTGGAACAGGAAAAAAGGCCTTGCCCACACTATAAGTTGGAAGCATATAGTTGTCTAAAATGTCTTTGTATGCTGTAGCATTATGATTCCCCTTCACTGGAACGAAGATGCCCAAACCCTAAAAACAGCCCCAGACCATTATTCCTCCTCCACCAAACTTTACTCTTGGCACAATGCGTTCTAGTAGGTGGTGTTCTCCTGGCAGCCACCAAACCCAGATTCGTCTATCAGACTGACAGAGAGTGAAGCGTGATTCATCACTCCAGAGAACATTTCCACTGCTCCAGAGTGCAGTGATGGTGCTTTACACCACTCCAGCCGACACTTGGCATTGCGCATAGTGATCTTAGGCCTATGTGCAGCTGCTCGGAAACCCATTTCATGAAGCTAGAAATGGAAACCCTGATGCTGCTTCCAGAGGCGGTTTGAAACTCTGTAATGAGTGATGCTACAGAGGGTAGGCGATTTTTATGCCCAACTGCTCAGCACTCAGCAGCTCAGCTCTCTGAGTTTGCGCAGTCTGCTGCTTCGTGGCAGCTCCTAGATGCTTTCATTTTACAATAATAGTGCCTACAGTCGACCGGGGCAGATCTAGCAGAACGGAAATTTCACAAACTGACTTTAAGCAAAGGTAACACTATGAAACTGCTTCATACTGCATCCAGTATGACCCTTTCTAGTGCCTTGATTTTATACACCTGTTAACAAAAAGGGTGGTCGACTCATCTGAACTCAGTTGTTTGGAGGGCTGTCCACAAACTTTTGGCCATATAGCGTATGTCAGATGTCCTTTGGTTCATGTTTTTTCAGATCTCTGAAGACATTTTTTAAAAACATCAAACCATAAGTCTTCAAAAGTGAGTTTATCACTTATAATATTACATCTTGGTCACATAGGGCTACTAATATTGACCAAAACAATAAAAAATCCAAATGTGATTGTGAATATAAGTAATGAAATGTAATGAAAACGTTCACATGTTTTTTGTTAGATGTTCATCCAAGGTGTAGCTTTAGAAAAATTCATCACTTTAGACAAGTGGTCTGTCACTGTGGGTGTCAACGTGGGACAAGCAGTTTGTAAGGATGCTGGATCAGGGCACTTTTTTGTTTTTTCCATGAGAGCACAGCTAAGTGAAGTGCATTTTAGATCTGAAGCTGGAACCCATCCGTTTCTGCACCGCTGCTGCTTCCAAACCACTCCTGTGTTATCAGGACTCGTGTCAGTGACTCGGACTCAAGTTGAGCATGTTGACTGACTTACGACTTGAATCAGAATCACCCTTAACTGACTTGCTACTTGACTCAGACTTCTTAAATTTTAGCCTGAGGAAAAAAAACAAACCAAACTGATTAAATTAGCACCTTAATGCAGTAAATCCAACCTTCCATTTTGGGCAACTTCACCTGTCAGTTTCGCTGTGGTCAAAAGCAGCCATTAGTATAATGCTGTCCTACTGCAGTTCAGAGCAGCGTCAGGTTCAACACAGCTAAAATAAGAAGCTTTTCATTAGAGAAAACCTTCAGTCTGATGGGCGTAACAAACATGCAGTGAAAATGGTGTTTTAAGGAAAGAAACTAAGCAATATGAAACATTTGGCTAGCAAGCGGTTTGGATAGCAAGCATAATTTAGCTAAAGTAGCTTGATTAGCTGTTACACTAGCTAGCTAGCATACTTGCTATACAAACTATAGTGTTTTTGTCTCTTACCTTTAAACACCTCATTTACTGCGGGTAGCACTTCAGTTAGGTCCTTCAGACTGAAGGGTCGTCTATACTGAAAGGCTCATCATTTGATGCTAGCAGCTAATAACAAAAATTCTCTGCTAAAGACTGGAGACTCAACTCGGACTCACTCTGCAAAACTGGACATGCATAAAGCAACTTGTGAGGATCTTTGAATTGTGGCCTTTAATACCAGCAGCAAGAAGTGCAGTTATCAAGTGTTTGTTTATGCTTAATGAAAATTCATTTTTATAAATACAGAAGACATTATGGGGCAAATTCGTAAAACGTAGTGCCACGTTTACCGTGACGTGAAGAGCAACGTGTTTGGTAACACATTTGCTGATTCATAAACGAGGATTACTATGAAGTTTTACTGTTTGTGAGATGTGAGGCGTTTTATCTATCTTATTATCACTTTTATGTCATTTACATATGGCAGTAGGATTTATAAAACACCAAAATCATGCAAAAATTGCTCCTGAACCACACTGGAGGTCATTTTCCAATTTTCCCCAGTAAACATTCTAAGTGCTGTAGACTTGTTTGAGCAGGATTTCTGACTGGCAGATTAAACTGGCGCTGCACTTTAAATGGGCACATTCTATGTTTGGCGAATCCCCCTCCTGTGTGTGGAAAGTAGGTTTAGCTTGTAATCCGTATAAGTGAGCAGTTCCACATGTTGAGGTTCTAATTACATATTCAAATTGATTTCATTGCAAGCAGTTTTAGCTTTTATCCCTGTTTTCCATTTTACAGTATACAGTATTTTACAAGGGAATTCAATGTACACATGAATTTACACATTACTAGTCAAAATGAATTTACTAGTTAAAACTGATTTTTTTACTAATCAAAATGTAAAAAATTACTTGAGGAATTTGCATGTGCAAATTGAATTCCTGATATCAAGATTTAAATATTTACTAGTTAAAATTTAATTTTCATGAAATAAAGACAAATAGGAGAATGGCTTACCATAGTAATCAGACTTTTAGCATGTTAGTTAAATTTTTAATTAAAAAATGATGTTAAACTTTAATTCTTGTAAGTAAAAAAATGTTACTGCAATTATTGCAGTTTCATGAGGTGCTTGACTTCTAAAATGTTTGGGAAGCCCCACTTGAGACCACTCAGAACAAGTTCTTTGGCCTTTTTCCTGTTCATACTAAATGTAGCTGGATAAGAATGGGTTAATGTGTTCTGTCCTGTAGATTTCTAAAGCCTGAAGTTGCTCTGTATTCACTGACCTCTGTCATATGGTCCCCTTATGGGTATGGGGACGTGTGTGTGTGCCAAGGGTTGGAGACAGGGGCAGACGGGCACAGGGGGCAAAAGGGGTACCCTCTGTATACGCTTTGTTTCCTTCCGTCACCATGGCAACCTAGAAAGGGGGGAAAAAAGAAGACGTATTGTATACAGCGGTGTGGAAAGTGTGTTCTGGGTGGAGGAGGATTAAGTTACTCAGATCACTTCGATTCTCCACGCTCTGTCCGGCCTCTGTTCCAGTCGAGGGAGATGTCACAAACACGAAACGGTGAAGACCGAGAACCCCCTCCCCTCCCCCATCCCCGCTCCCCTCCCCTTACGCTGCAACATCTGAGCCAGAGTTAAAGTTGCTGGGAATTGTGGGAACCGCGCTCAGGTGGCAGCGTCTGTTTGGCTGAGTTAAGTTTCACTGCTGCAGAGAATCCATTATCATCGCACAGGCACCATGAAGAGGAAAGAAAGCCCTCAGCTTTCCGCTGCTAAAGCCTCCCCAGAGCTCACCCAAAACAACCACAACACGCAAATCCCCCAAAACACGGAGCTCTTCCAGCCTTCCGTCAGCTGCCGATTCATCACACTCCCTCACCAAGCGGCCATGCCTTTGATTGGCGGTCAGATGGCAGATGTTTATCGTTTTATAACTCGAGATATGCCTGTAAGTGTCTTTCGCCCTGCTTAAGTATATGTAGTTCATCTTTAAGGGGGAATGTTTAGGATTAGAGGTTGCGTGGTAACTTGGATTCCAGCAGTTATCCGCAAGCTATGCTATGCGCTGAAAGCTCCCATATCCTTCATTTTTCCCCACTTATGACAGTCCATTAAAAACATTTATAATTCATTTTCCAACCCTCTTTATCCCTTTAAAACAGCGACGCTATTCACACGTCACATTGACCATCATTACCCTGTGAGTCCAGAGTGAGATTTTAGCAATGATTCAGTCAATAATGAGTGCGCTTTCCCTCTTTCCCCCTCAGAATCACACAAAAGGCCCTGAAACACATTTTAACAGATAAATAACAATAAATATGGCAATTATTAAGTATAAAAAAATATATGATATTAAATATGCAACTCGATTTGTAATTAAAAAATAAAGCCTGTCTTGCTGAGTTTTAGCGCTCAGCATGAATCCAAGAGGACAGAAAATCAATAAAAAAACATGGCTGCCTTATGCTAATTGTTTATTTTTACTCATAATAACCAACAGAATAAATCACCATCAAAATTATTGCGCTTACAGCTCACAGACACTCCAGACTAACAATTTCTAAAAAGGTATCTGAGGTGTTGCTTGTTTTTAAGATCTCTATAAGCAAAATTACGCAATTTTGCAGGCGCTAGGTAAATTTTTGATCAAAAATTAGCCAAATTCATAAAGATATCAAATTTCTGTTAGCATTTACATGTCAAACAATGGCATATCTGAGTAGCCCAGGGTCTCCTGAAAATAACAACATATGGCATGTATGACTGTCTCATGTAAATACTGTATAATTGCATTTGTAATTGTAATGATCCAAAATTCCCCAAAATTCTTGGGTTCTAAGGGTTAAACAGGCTGTTTTTGTTACTGTGCCTTTAAGACAGATATATGCAAATGACCTTTTAATGATTGCCTCATTCAAAAAA